GAAATTTTTCTCCGTTGCGTGTCGCTTCGCGTTGAATTTTCGTCGATGTTAAGCCTAACAAAGACTATTGTATCGTTAAAAATTATTTTTTTATTTTGTACAAACAAAATAAATATATTGAAAAATATAAATACAATGAAAAATTATACTTCAAATGTTAATTTAGTATCAAAAACGTAAAATATTTGAGTAACCCATGACATAGACAAAGATTGAAGCGCCACAGCACTGGCGAAAATTTAAATTTGCCGACTGGAATTCTTTCGGATGATTGACTTTCGGAAAATCGACGCTCTACTGTATTTCCTTATACGTTGAATGGAACACAGGCAATCAAAACCATTGCTTTCTTCACCCATTCTTTCTATGCATTAGGGCTATTAGGCAGTCAAAAACTACATTTAATAAACGAGACAGTTCTTTGATAATTTCTGAAATTGTCAATAATAAATTTTTTGTTCGTTTACCTCTGCATTAAATAATTCTGACAAAGAGAAGGCCAGACGTTCGAGTCTCCGATTGGAATGAATCTTGATCACGTAGCCGTAAATACAAATGGCTTCTCCTCTAATTAATAGGACACATTTCACAAGCGTTTCCGTTTTAAAAATGTGTTTTAAAAACACGTTATAAAAAATTCGAATTTGTACAGCACGTCATTAAACAATTTGGAAACCCANTTTGGAATAATAGTTTCTTACGCTATGAAGATCTCTGTGTTCGGAACAAACAAAATCGATGTCCGAGCAATTACCTTTCCTTTTTAATGAGAAGAATGAAAGATTTTAAACAGGGAAGAAATTTTATGAGGTATTGTTTTTTTATTGTATATTGTACAAGAAAAATTTGGGTATTCTTTGGTATTATATAACCTATATTACGATACACACATTTCAAATAAATCAAAAGAGTATTAAACATAGCTAGTATTTATAAGTCTAGTAAGTAAATAATTTTAATAGATTTATTTTAAGAAATAAAAATTACAAATAAGAACTTTATTGGTCATGATCTTCGAGAATTAGATGAGGATTGATGGGGTAGAGCCATGTTATCATATATATCATTATTATGCATTTTACACATGATTAAATTCTACATTTGGTTATATTAATTGGGTTTCGAGGTGAGAACGATGGGATGGTCACCTATTAAAATATTGTGATATTTTGTCCCTTTTTTTCGTATCGTTCAAATCAGTATCGTTCCTCTCCCAACCCTAGTAATTCTACAGAAAAAAGGGATAGTCTATAATCAACGATCGAAACTCTCTCTTCGGTTTAAATGTCACAGACTATATCGATAAATTCGATCAACGATAAAATCAACAAGGCAAGAACGGACGTTTAAAAGAGACTAATAAGCGGCGTTTCTCATCCCTCCTTTAGCTGCACGTGGCACGTGTCTGCGGACACCTGCACGATAATCAAAACAACATGATAATAATTGCCTCTCTCGTCGACTAATACAACTTTTAATATAAATAATCTAGATATTGTTGTCAAATCTGAGAAGACGTTGTCAAACTATACAATAATTAATGGGAGAGAGCTGTCAAATTCGTAGGAATTTATATCATAAAATTCACCTTCAGAAGACGAATGCCAACAATCCGACCAAAGAATACATTGGCGACATTCCGTACCAGCTGTATCTAAATCCGGCATAGCTAACAGGTGTTCTTATAAATCATCAACTATTTGACAGTTCTCACCCCTCAAAAATAGGATAAAAAGGGCTTAGACACAATCCTCCGAGAGGACATCAACGGCGGACACCCACAGCGGACATCAACCGGGGTCACCAGACCAATACCGCCACTCTGTCCGTCGCCACCCCGCCAGAATATCCCATGGTCAACTCTGCTGATCCTGGAACGGTTTTGCCAACGATCCATACAAGAAGATCGGGAAACCAGGAGGTACTGTACCAGTTTTTTCTCTCTCAGGTTTTTCTCTCTCTGTTAGACTCAAGACGATCTACCGACAAAATTGTCGCAAACTAGAATTTTTGAACATTCCCATTTCAGGTAGCTATTAGCTTTTGCATTTGCTTGTATTATTTAAATTGTTTATTAAATATGTTATATTTGTTGAACCTATGAACCTGTGTATTTATTTGGGTATCTGTCAACTTACTAATCGACCTCCCCAGTTACTTATAGCCCTCCTAAGCCATCACTTGACAAGAGCCGCAAATAAACGGGATTACTCTGCCCCCTCGGTACTCACAACATTATTAAAGTCTATTGTCATCGGAGATAGGAGTCTGAAACTTGGTGGACATATCTACCTTGATCAGGTGTGAATGAAAATTAAATTTCAAGATTTAAGAACACGATAAAAACTAACTTAAATAAAAGTGACGATTTGGGGCTCACGTATTAACATATCTACTTTTAAAACGATAAAAGTATAATCTTAATAAACAGGGAAAAGTAATACAGTAGAGCCTCGAAAACTCGGCCTAATGTGGACCGAAGGGTGGCCGAGTTTGTGAAAATGCCGGGTTATCGGGAATGGGGTTAAAAAAGGATAAGTATGCGTGTTTCCTCAGAAAATATTGTACTGTACTTGTATGTATTGTTTGCTTGAGAATACAACAGAGAATAAAGTGCCCAAATACCCTTAAACAAAGGAAAAGTACTGTACGTCCTTTATGAAGGCATAGAGCCTTTACTACATGAAAATGAAAATTAATAAATAGCCTACACTGTGTACAGTAATTTACCTGATAAGACAGATATCAGAAAAATACTTTATGAGGCATAAAGCTGTCTATGATGAAAATTAATTATCTAAGGGTATTTTTGCCCTGCCAGGGTGTGGATGAATTATCCGGTGTGCCGGGTTATCGAGTGCCGAGTTTTCGAGGCTCTACTGTAATAGATTGTAAAATCTGTCACGAATAAGCAGATCAGGATCACTAATTGAAAACTTATATAATTAGTAATTAATATCATTTTGCTCAGGTTACTTTATGCAACTGGACATAAAACGTCTACTTTCGCGTTAGGTTGGTTTCCGATTTGCAGTAGTATTTTAAAATGTTAGCAAATAGACCCAGAAAAATATGTGTGACGTCTTCATCGTCTCGACCCGTCAGCAAACCATGATCTCCGTAATATAGAAGATCCGTTATAGACAACTTTACTGTATAATGCTTCTGATAAGAAGATTTATATACATTGCAGTTTCTTTCTTTTGATTTTATTTCTTAATATATGAAAACAAGATTGTAAAGTTGTAAATTGTAAACATCTACAAATGAAATTATTATATTTTCACTTTGAAATTAAAAAACAAGGATCCGATTCTGATAATCTGATTAATTTTGAACAGATAATACATAAAATAATAATAATAATAATAATTATTATTATACTGAACGTATTTTCCAGTTTATAAATATAAAATTTCTAAGTTTAAGCATATAACTAGGTAAAAATTATAAATTTTCATTTTTTATATCAATGAAATGAAGTGTTTTTTCATTAACAAAAATTATTTTAAAATGTACTTTAATATAATTAATATGGAACTGAAGCATTGTTAGAATTTTTTACTTTCTTTAAGTTTTAACAATATATTTCCATTTGCTTTTATAAAGGTATCCTTACGAGAGAAAACAATTCCACGTAGAATTAACTGCTGTAAATTTCGGAGGAGTATCAACAAATGACGACGGCTACGTCCAAGATTTCAAAGCATTTCGTTTGATTTACTTCTTGGATAATAACTCAAGAGAAGGAAAGTTGGCTTTAAAATGGGAAAGAGCAGTTTTGGAGACGTTAACCAATGTAAAGCTTCAACATATTGAATTTTTTACGTACGCTGGACAAACTAACGACGTAGAAGCGAACAGAAACACCGAGTTAAGTTTCCCACTTTTACTTATTTCTGGAGTCATTATGACATCATTCTCTTTCGTGTCTTGTTTAACGTTCGATGCTGTAAGAAGTAAACCGTTGATTGGAATTGCTGCCTATTTCAGTCCCTTGCTGGGAACAGTAGCTGCCTTCGGTTTACTGTTACATTGTAATGTAGAATACGTTGATGCGAACGTTGCTGTTGCTTTCCTGACCATAGGTAAGTAGCCATTTTCTTTTTAATAAATGCAAAATTGTCTCTTTCCAAATTAGCATTTCAAGATTATATTATAAATAGAATTTTACCAATGTGAAATCTATTAAGACTGTATTAAGTAATGTTTCTTTCCGAGATTTCCGCGTAAAATTTCTCAATTACCGATCCGCAATAAAGTACAAATAGTTTTTTAGGAGATTTTAATATATTCTAATATCTTTGATTTTTATATATCTATTTCGTAATTTTGAAAAAACAAAAAATTCTCTTATAATTAACAAATTTTTCAAAGAATATAAACAACAACATTGCAAAGGTAAACTCATTGGAACAATTGTTATTTCCATAAACGAGCAAAATTGCTTTCAATTTTTAATTATAAAATATCAATAATGTTAATTTCCCGGCTGTTATCTTTATGTTAGATTCAAAGACCTAAAACGTTCATTGAACGAAAAATTCGACAAAATCCGGTTCTGAATTATCACATACAGCCACAATGTGAATTTCGCGTTGTGACATTTTCACGTTGGCAGATAGCGTTTGGTTGATTATTAATTAAAAGAATCTCGATACGAATTTTGCCTTGTGGTCTTATTATATGTGACAAACTCATTGTGCGCATTTTTGAAAGTGACACGACTCGAAATTCGCATTGTGGGTGGATCTGGGATGTCAAAATTCGTTGTGGTTGATTTTTCGTTCAGCGATTGTTTCCGATCTTTGGCCCTAACATATACATAACAAGGAAAAGTATTGGGATCGTAGCAAATCGAAACACAATCGAAAAAATCGAAAAAATTTTGCAAATGTTTTGAACCCCGAAAAGTGAAAAAAAAACAGGAAAAGTTTTCGTATGTGTGTGTTGACGTCTATTTCGTTTAATATCTTAGGAAAGAACAAAGATTAATAAACGAAATTTGTCATGGTAACTTGTATAGAGTTAGAAGCTATTAAATTTCAGTAATTAAATTTTAAAAAAATTTTTTAGAGAATTTATTAATCAAATTTCTCTTTGAAGGCATTGGGATGGACGATTCTTTCGTATTGCTGGCTGCTTGGAGACGAACGGATAGAAACCACAGTGTCAAACAAAGAATGAGTGAAACCTTTTCTGATGTTTCTATTTCCATAACGATAACCTCATTAACCAATTTTATATCATTCATTTTAGGAGTTATAACTCCTTATAGAAACATTCGTATCTTCAGTATATACAGCGCCATTTCCGTGTTATTCGACTATATTTATCAAATATTTTTCTTTGGTGCGGTGATGGCAATCGACGGTTACAGAGAAAAGCATAACCTTCATTCTCTATTTTTATATCCGGTTCGAAAAGATACGGCAGGTAAAAATTTAATATTTTTAATTTAATTTAGTTTTTATATTTATGTCTATTAACTAATATATAGCAAAACTGTTATTAATTATAACGTATAACAACATAAAAAGTTCAAAGCATTTATTAACGATAGTGTATGAAAGATAATATGATTACGATCGCGCAAAATAAAAAAAAATGTTGTAAGATGTCCTTGAAGAAAGAGAAATTTTGTGTAATTCACACGGTCTGTGAAAGAAGAGGGCCATGATAATGTCTTATTTGCCAAGATAATTCTGACAATCAAAGCACAGTTTCGTGAGACGAAATACAATATCTTCCAGAACGAGTCTGCATTATCTCACCACAGAAACGACGAGTAAAGTATAATTAATATTTTTTTCTTCGGCTCAGTATCATTATTGTCACTTAAACAACCGATCCTCAAAAGGTCAAACCAAAACGCCTTTCAGTTCTTTACCAATTATCAGTATCATTACACTAGTTTTAAGAGTTTATGTATATGCATGCGAATGAGTAGTCACAAATAAAAGGTCAATTCCTCTCGAAAAGCTTCTTGTGGGTTCCAGAGGTGTTGAAAAAGAACGAAATCTTCCAGAACTTGCAATAATCTATTTTACGTTCCTTTTTCCATTCACTCATATTCCAAACTAAGTGCTTATAAGGTTTTGTTTATTCAATGCATCACATTCCTAAAAAACTCGTTGGTAGCACAGACGTCTTCCTCTACTTTCTTACTATCCTTGTGAGCGTTCTCACTAATTATCAGTTTAATTTAAAATATGCAAATTTTTGTTTTCTAACCTGTGTTAATTATTAATCTGTATTGTTCTATTTTCCAAGGAAAGTCTTCTCTTGTAAGCACTACCTGGCTTTAAAGACATCAAATATATTATAACTTTTCTTCCAAGTTTTTAATATATTTCCTTTCACGTTGAATGGTACACAGGCAATCAAAATCATTGCTTTCTTCACCCATTCTTTCTATGCGTTAGGCAGTCAAAAATTACATTTAATAAACGAGACAGTTCTTTGATAATCTCTGAAATTGTCAATAATAAATTTTTTGTACGTTTACCTCTGCATTAAATAATTCTGACAAAGAGAAGGCCAGACGTTCGAGTCTCCGATTCGAATGAATCTTGATCACGTAGCCGTAAATACAAATGGCTTCTCCTCTAATTAATAGGACACATTTCTCAAGCGTTTCCGTTTTAAAAATGTGTTTTAAAAACACGTTATAAAAAATTCGAATTTGTACAGCACGTCATTAAACAATTTGAAAACCCAACTTACGTTTACGAAATTATTAATATATTAATAATTTAGCAATAAATTAGCATTATTATCTGATTTATTTAAATTTAAATTACATTTTTTTAGAAAGAAAATCAACCAGCAAGAAAAATGTTTTGAAGTTTTTCAAGTCTATAAAAAATTTTCCCGAATATCTGGATACTTTTCTGAGTAACAAAGTTACGAAAATAATAGTAATATTTTCATCCATTTCTCTATTAGCAGGAGCAATTTACAATATTAATTCAATAAAACAAGGTCTAGATTATGCTGATATTTTTCCATTTAACTCATACGCTGCTAAATATACCAAAGTATATTATCAATATTTCACCGAATATCCTCACAGAGTACAACTAGTGTTTAATCAAACTCTCGACTACTCAAATCCAACTGTTCAAATGGATATAGAAAACATTTTAAGAACATTCGAAAGTGCTCCTTACATGACTGGATCCAATTTCACAGAATGTTGGTTGAGAGAATATTTGACTTATATTCGCGATTCTAGAATAAATTACATGATTAAAGATTTTGATGTAAATACAACGCAGGGATTTCTAGAAGGACTGAAAAAGGTGTTTTTTAGATTTAATAGTGGAATATTTGAAAGTGATGTCGTGTGGAATAAGGAACGTGATCAAATTGTCGCTTCGAGATGTTTACTTACTTATCGCAACGTCAGAAGCGGAAGTGACGAAAAATTCTTAATCGAAGAATTACGTAAAATTGCAGCTCAGAGCAAATATGATGTGTTTGTTTATAACATATGGTTTGTGTTGTCAGATCAGTTTTTTAATATGCCTGCAATGTATTTGAAAGCCATAGGAATCGCTATTTTATCAGTGTTTGTAATATTCTTTGCATTTATTTCTGGCATATCTTACAGTATTGTTGTGTTACTTACGGTTATTTGTATTCAAGTAGAAACTTTGGGTTATGGAAGTGCTTGGAATGTGGGTTTAGATCTTATTTCTGTGACGTTTTTAATAATGAGTGCGGGATTTTGTGTTGATTACTCGGTGCACATCGCTCACGCTTACAAAAATTGCAAAGAAACAGATCCTAGTGAGAAAATAAAAGCATCCTTGCAAGGCATAGGATATCCGATTGTTCAAGGATGTTTATCTACTGTCATTGGAGCATTTGTTTGCATTTTCGGGCCGTCTTATTTGTTTATTGTATTTTTTAAAGTAATTGTTTTAGTTATGATATTCTCAGTGTTTAATGGTTTAATTGTGTTACCCATTATTCTTAGTATGGTCGATTCCGTTCATATTCCTTGGAAAAAACAAATAAATATTCTCGCTACACGATAATATAACTATTGCTGTTTGTAACAGTCGATACTTTTTTGAATTTATGCAAGTTTAAAGAAATATCATTTATAAAATTAAATGTATGTATTGAATTAATGCATAGGAATAAAAATACTTTATATGAACATCTTTATCATTTTTGACTCTATATATAATATATGTGGTAAACATCGTTTCTCAGTTTAATACGTTTTTACTTGCCGAATTCGCTTAATTTGTTATTGTTTCATGTTGGATGTTTTTTATTCAATAATTTTAAAACATAAATCGATTTTACGACGTGGAAATGATTTTCTTTTATTTAAAAGAAAATCCATGAACGAGTAACGTAACTTTTCAGAGAAAACTTTAATACTGTGTGTATTGAAATTTTATTTAAATTATTTAACTTTTACAGAATGGTATAGTGCTTAATTTTGACGACAAATGTATTTTATTACAAAAATATTGTAAATTTTGATAATGAGTAAAATCTTTATTAAAGTCCAACCAAATTCGTGATAAGAGAAATGACTCTCTCTCTATCTCTTATCTTTTGTCTTAAACTAATAAAATTTCATCGCATCAATGCCCCTACTACAGAAACTACCCTGCAAAATTTCAGAAACTTCTGACAAAAAGAATTTATTAAATTTCAAAGAGGGTGAACAAAATACGTACAGGAAAAGTCTAACTCTTTTTGTATTTTTGAACGTTTCAAGTTTTTGCTCCTTAGTCCAAAAATGAATAATTTTCTATTTAGGAGATACTTTTTTTCCTATTACATTTCCTGGCTGTTATAACAGAGGGAAAGTATGGCGATCGCTCAAAAAGTACTCCTTCATATTTTTACATTTTCTGAGGGGACCTTGAAACGTCAAGAAATCAAAAAGAAAAAAAAATCGGAGGTTCTTTTCTGTATGAATGGACCACTGTGTGTAGCTACTCTTTGATCTCTCTGCCCTGGATTCAAGGTAAGCTGGATTCTATTCTAACGTCTCGTTGGCAGACGGAGTGGGATGAGAGCCTGACAAGCCCTCTCACCCACAACTTTATCCCCAGCATCTCTCGCAGGATCAGCAACCGTATTTTTATCACCAATCACGTCATGACCCAAATACTAACAGCACACGGCAATTTCAGAGCCTACTTCTATAGGTTCTTGAGGAAAGGGAACGATTTTTCCACTGTGATACTAATGAGAACGAAGATCCAATGCATCTGATCTTTATCCGCCCGGTTCATTCACGCCATCGAGCAAACCTTCGTAAGACTATTGTGGAACCAGAGTATTTTTGGCCCTGAGAACAATACATCTTTATAGAGGACTAGATCATATATGAAGATTTCAAGAACTTCGTGAGACAACTGAAGCTAACGGACTATATCACTACTAGCCCAAGTGGCACCTAACGGACAATTTGTTTCCTGGGCCAACAGGGATCCCCAAAAGGAGACTCGTTATTGCTTCTTCTTTTGCTAACTTTTATCAATGTTGCTTCATCTGCCCTACTTCTCAGAGTTCTGTATCTGTATCTGTCCTATTACTCTATGGGCCTACTTCTTCCTTGTAAATACAAATTGCTCTGCACGAGTAAACTATTGTTTATCGTTGTCTTATCCAACAGTTTCCCTTGCGGCTCATGTCCTCATCCTTCCACTTTCAAAGCTCCAACTATCCCACCTTTCCAATTTTTCCTTAAATCATTTTTCCTCCTTTCTTCACACATCTTTCTTATCTTTTAAGGCTACACTATTGAGTACAGTCTCTCTTCTTTCACATGTGTGTGTGTATGAATGAATTTTAGAGAGAGAGAGAGAGAGAGAGAGCGTGTGTGTGTGTGTGTGTGTGTGTTGCTCAATTTTGTTCACTATATTTGAAACTTAATAATTCCTGTGCTTTTTATTGAATATTTCAAAAACTTTGTAGAGAGTTTTGTTTATTAGGGAAATTGATGCTATTAAATTTTGGTGGTTAAATGTTGAGGGGGTGGGAGATAATGGCGATCTTGTGTATCTACAGTAGGGGCGGACTTAATGACGATTTTACTCGTTATTAGCATTTACAATTTTTAGTAAAACCCATCTCTACCCTCAAAATTAAGCTTTTTGCCATTTTATAATAGTTACGATATTTTATTTTAAAATTTTTATATTTTTAACAGTGACGCGACCAAATGTTGCCGGTAAAGTTGTGGAATCCGTTGTAGGTTTTAAATTTAATATTAATAATTATTTTTATTGTTTAACGTTACTGACATTGACCATCAATTAACTGACTTTTTTATTATTTATTATTTTGAGAAATTTATTTCTTATATATTCGATCGAAGAATTATTCGTCCAGATATATTTTGGGAATTAAACTTTCACATAAAGGTTAAAACTCGAACACGTTTTTCTTTGTATGTTACGGAGTTATATGCAAAGCAAAATATGTTATAGTTTTAATCTTAAAAACAACCTCTTCCTCTCAAGTAAATTCTGTATTAAGTAATCATTATTCATTAGGGGCGATATTCATTTTCTAATTTTTTTCTTTTCACTATCTTTAAAATAAAGAAATACAGAAAATAAAAACGAATATCAAGATTGAAAATTATATTTTGTGTGATATCGACGTAGAAAGCAATGAAATTTTATAATAATTTACGAGAAAATTATGTTCACATTTATGATAGCTAATTAACTACAGATCTTATTTATTCGTAACTTCTACTGGGTAACTTCTATCAAAAGATACAGTGAAAACTGTATCTTTTGATTAGTTAAATAATAAACTTGTAGATTTAGCGTTAAAACTTTATATCTACTACTTTAATATTGTACAGAGAAGCTCTTCATAAGTCAAAAAGTGTTTTGTCTGTAATTGAAGTTTACATACATACATACATACATAAAAGACGTCGGCCGTACACAACGTGTTTAGCCAGCGGAAAAGAGGGTAGAGGAAAGAAGGGNGATGCTGTAAGAAGTAAACCGTTGATTGGAATTGCTGCCTATTTCAGTCCCTTGCTGGGAACAGTAGCTGCCTTCGGTTTATTGTTACATTGTAATGTAGAATACGTTGATGCGAACGTTGCTGTTGCTTTCCTGACCATAGGTAAGTAGCCATTTTCTTTTTAATAAACACAAAATTATCTGTTTCCAAATTAACATCGCAAGATTGTATTATAAATAGAATTATACCGATGAGGAATCTATTAAAAATGTATTAAATAATGTTTCTTTCCGAGATTCTGCGTAAAATTCGCAATTTTAACATTTCCGATTTGCAGAAAAGTAGAAATAGTTCTTTGGGAATTTTTAATATATTCTAATTTCTTTGATTTTTGTATACGTTATTTTGAAAAACAAAAAATTCTCTTATAATTAACAAATTTTTCAAAGAATATAAACAGTAACATTTCAAATGTCAAGTCATAGAATCAATTGTTATTTTTCTGAACAATCAAAATTATTTAAAATTTTTAATTATAAAATAGCAGTAATTTTAATTCTCGACTGTTATGTTTATGTTAGATTCAAGGAACTAAAACGTTCATTGAGCCAAAAAATTCGACAAATACGCTGTGGCGGTTTCACACTGGCAGATAGTGTTTTGGTTGATTATTATATGGATTTCGCTTTCGGGTCTTATTGACGTGCCAAATGCCAAATTGGTTGTTTGCATTTTTAAAAGTTCCACCACGCGAAATTCGCATTGTGTCTAAATCTAGGAAGTCACAATTTGTTGTAGTCGATCTTTCACTCATTTTCAATTCATTGTTTTCGATCTTCGGCCCTAACGTAACAAGGAAAATTATTTCGATGGTTGCAAATTGAAACATCTGGATTTTTTGCAAATGTCCAGGTTTTGAATCCAAAAAAAAAAAAAAAACAGGAATAAATGCTGTGGGGTGTTTGTATGTGAATGTGTGCGTTGACGTCTATTTCGTTTAATATCTCAGGAAGACATAAAGATTCAGATACGAAATTTAAAATAATAATTTGTATGTAGGTGCAGTGCTGTAACTAGGCAGGTGTAACAGGTGCACCCGCACAGGGCCCGCTTGGAAGGGGGGCTCAAAATGCATGTATTTGTTTTAGTATTTTCCCAAACTTAATTAATTAAGGGGCCTAAATGCAAATTCTTGCACAGGGCACAGGAATGGCTAGTTACGGCACTGTGTAGGTGAAATCGACGATATTAAATTTTGATAGTTAAAGGCCGAGAGGGTAGAATGATAGAGGAGGTCATGTGTTATATCTGGAGAGGGGTTGAACTTATTGTAAGGAAAAGTTTACTAGTTATTAGCATTTACATTTTTGACAAGACTATGCTTCGTCTCTAAAATCGCGCTGCTGTCAACGACTGCACGCACACCTTAGAAGTATGAAGGAGTTCATGTAAGAAGTTGCAATTTGACGCAGAGTAATTGATGCCCAAATCATGCGCAAATAAAACAAACCAGACTTGTAGGTAGGTCACAGGAACGAGAACCGGGTCAAAAGAAAATACGAAATGTTGAGACTGTTTCTACAAATAAGCGCGAGTGCGAGATTTGTGCATAGTTTCGTCCCAAAAATGGCTTCGCCGTTTTACTTGTTTTTTATTGTTAACTCACATTTGCCCTGAAAATTATGTTTTTCGTTATTTATAATAATTAATAATATTCAAATAATAAATTTGATTAGGGATGGAGCTAAATACAATTTTAAATTTGTTTTCCGGAAAGTTTAAAGAATTCTTTGCTGTAGTGTTTTGTTATGACAGATGAAAATGAAATTATGCAATTTGTATCGTTGATAATAGAACAAATATTAAATATTTTTTAATACTGAATTTTAAATTTATTTAAAAACTTTTTCTTAGAAAATTAATCAATTTTCTCTTTGAAGGCATTGGAATGGACGATTCTTTCGTATTGTTGGCTGCCTGGAGACGAACGAATAAGAACCATAGCGTCAAACAAAGAATGAGTGAAACCTTTTCTGATGTTTCTATTTCCATAACGATAACCTCATTAACCAATTTTATATCATTCATTTTAGGAGTTATAACTCCTTATAGAAACATTCGTATCTTCAGTATATATAGTGCCATATCAGTGTTATTCGATTATAT